GTGAAAGGGGCTCTACATATTTAATTTCTCAAGCTCATCCCTGGGGAGTGGTCTCTGCACCCGCATACAATCCTCCTGCTGTGGGAGACATTCGGCAGAGCACGGGTGGACCTATTCGCGTCGTTGGGATGCGACAGGTCCAGCTGGGGACGAATGTTGGGACAAATCAGGGAAATTGGATGCTCAGTGCTCCTTGTGGCTCCGCTCTGGACGAACCAAGAATGGTTCCCACTGCCCCATGGCCTATTCTGATGAGGAAAGACCTCCTCTCTCAGGCCAAGAGCTCAATTTGGCATCCTCACCTGGAACGGTGGGCCCTGCACGCATGGGTCATCAACGGGTAACCGCAAACCTGCCCGAGGGAGTGCTAAATACCATCACGCAGGCCAGAGCGCTGTCGAAGTGCTTTCCTTCCTTCAAGAGCTATTGGATAAGGGCAAGTCCCCATCCACGCTCAAAGTCTACATGGCGGCCATAGCAGCATTTACAAAACCTGCATCTGGCCTGTCACTGGGAAAAATGATCTGGTCATTCGTTTCCTAAAGGGAGCTAAGAGGTTGAATCCTCCCAGACCCTCCTCTATCCCCATATCGGACCTTTCCATGGTTCTAAAAGCCTTGAAAGGAGCCCCATTTGAGCCGATCCAGATGTTGGATATGAAACACCTGTCTCTCAAAACAGTGTTTCTCTTGCGTCAGAAAAGTGCACAGGGGATCTACAAGCGGGGGATCTTCCGGTTCATAATGAGGAAGAAAACATAGGCCTCCTTTGCCCAGTCAGGGCGTTAAGAGCCTATGTATCTCGCTCATCTGTTTTCAGACAGACTGAGCAGCTCTTTGTTTCATTCAGTGGTCTCGAAACAGACCCCATCCAGATGGATATTCGATGCCATAGCACTGGCATACACTACAAAGGGACTTGAGTCCCCTTTAGGTGTTAGAGTGCACTCCACCAGAGGCATGACCTCATCGTGGGCGTGGTCTAGCGGGGTTACTTTACAAGATATCTGTAAGGCGGCAGGCTGGGCCTCCCCGTCTACATTTCTAATGTTTTATAACCTAGAAGTAGAAGCACCGTCACCAAAGGACCGCTCTCGATAGGTTGCGGCAGTTGCTGCAGGACAGCCAATAGGCATGCTAAGCCGCCTGCATGATGCCGCAACGCGTTTTACATGAATACAAAATTAAGGATAATTTTTTGGCTTCAATATCTCGAGGAAAGAGGTGTTTCCCCTAGGGTAAGATATTACGCAATACTCGTTCCCTCTTCTGAAGAGTACCGAGGTTGTGTTAGTAACCGTTTTCTTCCTCATAGGAACCATTTATGGCACATGTTCCAGTGTGCATATGTTTTATATAGCACCTCTCTTACCTGTCAAGATGAGACATGACCGTTTTGGAGATATCTCCACCAGCTTCTTTCAGAATGCGGATGACCTCTCCTGGAGCGGCTGTGTCCCGTCCAGGGTGGATGATGACGGGGCAGCCGAGCTGAGTCTGAGCGTGAGCAGTGGCTCGCAGGACCTTTTTCTCACTCTCTGTGATTGGCCAGCTGGTACCGATCTCTCCAATCACGCCACAGCGAATATCTGTGCCGTCTGCTCCATGGAGCACCTCGCTGACAATGATGTCAGTGAGCTTGTGGAAAAAAAGTTGACACATTTGAGAATTATTTCCCTCTAGGGTTGTGTGATATATATTGTTTATGACAATATAATAATTGTCTCACTTAAAAGTGCAGTTCCAAATAAAGCCTTAACAGAAATGTGCTAAGCAACACGCAGTGGAGTTTCGTTCCTGAATGATTCAATGATCTATTCATAAAGACAGAGGCTGCATCCAAAAACAGAATACCTCCCTACTACATAATAGGCGAAAAACAGTAAGTGACAAAAGTATGTTAGAATTCAAAGTACTCATAAAAGAGTAGACCGACTACTTCCAGCTAGATTCGGAACACTATTTGATGGACACTTAACTATCCCATGAGGCTACAGGAGAGGATTTGTAAATGGCCAACATTTGCGTAAACATATACGCCACTTTCGAGTCAAGTGGCGTGTTATCTCTACGCATTTTGAGCTATCCGCGTGTATCCACGTGTATGTGTATGTCTACGCCATTAACGTCTGAGTGATTCCGCGTGTCTGTACACGCCGTCAAATGTTCGCGCGAAACGAAGCAAAATGTAGATCTACATCTGGGGAGCGATCTTTTTTTTTTCCTAGGATGGTAAGGGAACAGTCATAAATGCCATTAACCCCAGTGACGGTTAGGTTTAGGGACGGGGTTGAGGTAAGTCATATATTTATATATACAGTAATAAAGTTAAGTCAACGGCGTTCATAAACACATTATGCGTCTCGATAGCACGCCAAAAATGCCAATAAATCAACATCTGTTTTGTTTTGTCATGCACAATACCACACGCTCCAACCTTCTCAACGGTCATCTTTCGCATCTCATCAGAGTGGGTCACGTCCACATAGTACCCCGCTCCAGCTATGACATGCACACCCGTGTCCTTCGCCAGCTGACGCAGAACGGGCAGATTTCGGTTGATGCCCGTGGTGGTGTTCTCCACTATGGATCCTCCTCCTGCTTTACGGTAACACAGCAACTCTTCCTTCACTGCCTCGACCTCCTGATTTAACAGCAGGTTCTCTTGGTGGCTGTATGGATTCTGCTGCAACCAGTGAAGATGCTTCATCTCAATGGGAGCTGTGGCGAGACCCTCATCTCCAGGTGCTGGGGGAACGTGGCTGCACTCAAACGTCATTGTGAGGTGTTCGTGTGTCATGGTACGGCCCAGCTGATCAGGCTCGATCAGACCAAGCACTGTCTGCACCTTCCCGCTACGCTCAGACATGGTTTCGGTGATCCTGTCCAACAAACAGTTACATTCATTAATATAATATTGTTCGGACAGTGTGAATTTTGATTGAAAGTATGGGATGGCAAAATACTGGTAGTGGCGAAATGCTATGGCAGTGAAACGATTAATCGTATCCAAAATAAAGTTTGTTTAAATATTATATATGTGTGTGTGTGTACAGTGTAATTATTTTGTATACACACATGCATATGCATGTATATTTTTAAGACACATTTGCATGTATATAAAATATTTATATATAATTTATATTATATATAAATAACACATTTTTCTTAAATATATTATATACATGCATCTGTATGTATTTATATATACAAATTAATTATACTCAGGACACAAACATTAATTATGTAAACACAAACTTTTTATTTTAATTGTTTCACATCGCTATTTTGAGAGACTATCGTCTCTATCGCAGTTATGATCATGTGACTTTGCTGTGCTTGCGTTGTCACTAAATTATTGAGGAAACAAATTATCGTTTGCATGCATTTTTAAACAATACGTCTTTTTAAAATGTAGAAGCGCAATATGCAGCCAAAGATAACTCATTTCCAAGTAAACAGTCATTTATGTCTTAAATGAATGTAAACAGTTGAGAAAGAAAACACACAAGTAATAGTATATTGGATCAGTGCTGTTAGTTTTAAAATAACAGCATCCAAATTTACCTGCTAATTAATGTTAAATAACAAAAGTGCAGTGTCACTGCGCTCGAATGAATCACTTTTTTTTAAAAACTTTTATAAGAATAAATTTATATTTCCCAGACAGCAACATAGTGTCGGCCCAAATTCGACCCACATCTGGTACACGTGGATTCCAGACATGGGCGCGATCACTGGGCAGACACTATGCTGCTGTCTGAGTTAATTTACACAAGTCAACACATTTGATTACTATACATCTTGTGTAGTTTTTCTTATTTCTAGTGCTTGACATTTTTCAGGTAGATCTATTTCATTTGTGTCTTTGTTCTATTGTAGTTTGTCTATTCTTAGCTTTTTCTTTTATCACTGTGTACGTCTTCAGTACAGCTTTAGGGTGTTTTTAGGCTAGTATATGTTATTGAAAATGGTGAGATTTATGAAATTTCAATGGTATCAAATTTAGATATCCTTAAAACTTAACTAAACAAAAATAAATATCATTATTAATTTATCTAAAAAAAAATTACTCATATTGTGAAACTATTTGGGTAATTTCGCCAACACACAGAAAAAAAATACACAAAATCTTTCCCCCCAACTCTATTTAAACAAGAAAGAAAGAACTGCATTTTTAAAGAAGAAGTGAATGCTTGGCTGGTGTAAATCTGTAAATGACTCATCTTGGCTGTGTCTCATTTAACGGGTTAGACACACCTTGCTGGTTCGGACTTTGCGCTGATTGAAAGACTACAGACATTGCATTGCAAACATGCATTTAAAGCTGTTTACTAATTTGCAAATATGGATTACAGAAGTAAATGCACTTGCAATGCATGTAAACAAATGCATGCATGAAGATGTATGCACGTGCGGTCGAGATTTTTTACCAGTCCAAATACCTGGTTTACTAAACCCTGCTGTCTATTTAACGCTACAAAGATCATACGCAAAATAAGATGCAACCTGTTGAGATTCTAAAATAAACAGAGAACTACAGCCCGGACTGCGATACTTCCTCGATCATTAACAACTGTTAAAAGTCACAAAACAGACGATTAGCATGCAGTGTAACTAGCTGTTATTTTAAAATCACACGGCGTTATGCAGTTAAAGATACTTATTGACATTGAAATAGGACACAAAGTGAAAAACAAGACCTGCGGACGGTTCAACTTCGAGTCTGCAGATAGATTCAGATCAGAACTGACAACAACTGAGCAATACATTCTCGCGATTGTATGCATATCGCGAGACACAGCTTTCACATTCTGACGTGAAGTGCTAAAAACAGAATAATTAAAACAGTAACGTTACAATTAAATAAGTAACATGAATGCAGTAGCCTACCTTTAGTTTGAAGATGCGGTTCTGTTTAAACAAAGTTAACGTTGGGCTGTTTTTAAACTATGAACTTATGCCACGCCCCTTTCTGTTCACTGCAGTTTGTGAGATGTGCCCTTATTAAAGAAGGGCCCTTTGTGGAAATCAGGATTTGGAAAATACATCCTCACTCAGCCATAAAGAAATAAGGTACGCTATTATGAAACATAACATTTGGAAACTATTCATATGAAGCTGAAATCCAGGCTATTTTTGTGATTGCATGGTTACAAGTATAATGTTTTACCAAAAATTGTTGTGTTTCCATGGGAATCCATGAAGGAAAACAACTTAAACCAGCTTAGCCCAAGAGCCAGTTTTAAGAACAAGTTTGACATTGTTATTATTCTACATTATTTCTTTTCTATGCTATTTTTACAGCCCAATGAAAACAATTTGCTATATGTGTTTGTAGCCTGATGGATATCAGAATCTTGGTAGCCTAAGTTGTATTCTTTGTTCTACAATCAAATCAACTGACTAACCCAACCTAACTGCTTACCGTATTGGGTAAAGCAATTAGTATGCAACAAAGTGCACATAAAGCCTGATCTAACCATTGATCCATGATTTTAAAGTGACACATTGAGCCGTAATACATTTTCTCCGTACAAGTCTGAATTAACTAATAGTGACAGGTCCTGGGGAGTTATCCGACCAAGGATTCGTATACAAAATTAGTCCTGAGAGAGAGCAAGAATGACTATTAAGTATCAACCAACTGCAAATTGCCAAACAGCTGTTGGCGTCGCATGTCACTTCTAATTCATCCACTGAATAGACTATAAAAAGCCTGCACACTGTTAGTAAGATGTTTAAGTGGTCAGTAATCTGATTTCCCTAATATTGATTTGAATTGTTATTAGTCTTATTCAGCTTTTGCTCGATACTAATCCATTAGCAAGAATGCAATCCAGGTTCAGGCACATCAAATAATAAAAAAGCCCATCAAAGACTAAAATATAGGTCTGGAACAAAGGTAGCCTATATCTGAGGTCTCATTGTAATCAGCCATTATTTTTCAGGATGCTGAACAATGGCCCTGAGGATGTCAATCAAATCACACAATAAATCCAGATATATTTGACATGTGTGAAGAACAAAGACCTTATCAACAATAAGTCTAGAAAGGGATAGATCACCCCAAAATGTTTTAGTGGTGAACATTTTTCAAAATATATTTTTTGTTCCACAGAAGAAAGAAAGCCACAGGTTTCAAACAACACAAGGGCGATTAAATTATTTTAAGTTTGGGGTGAAAAGCCTAATTTAAGATTAAAATTAACAACTGATGACAGCCTACCTCAAATAATATGAGATCACTAAAAATAATTAGGGTGAATTCAGGTGAAGTGGGACAATTTTTGATAAACATGTAGTTTTTGTACCCAGAAGGAAAGTTTTGAACTCAGTTAATATGATTATTTGGAAGGTATGCCAATGTGCTGGAGTCTATCCCAGTGTCTGGGAAACACCCTGGACAGATGGCGAGTCCAGCACAGGCAATTATACATGTCAATTATAAAATAATCAGTGAATGGCAATCAGTTTTACCTGCTTTATTGGCATGACCAATATTGGTACATTCGTATTGCCTTAGCATTGCAGCAGCTGCGTACAGTTAACTGCACAATCTAGGCCTAATTCATTCATTTGAGTGGAATTACTGATGGTTAAAATTGGCCCATAACACCCCTTAGAAGAAAAACAATACAAAAAAAAAATTCACATGTCGTTTTTGCATTGTGTTACCTGCAGTAAATTTTTTTTTAAATTATAATAATAATTAATTAATAATAATACCTTATTACCATACCTTTATCTTAATTACCATAATCCAAGAACATCTATAACTGATGGCATACACACAGAGCAAAGTATACAATCAAGCTTAATAGCCTGAATTCACTCTTTAATTTTTGTTTCAAAAGCAGGGGTTTCGTATAGCGATGCAATACCTATACGATTATATTTCACAATAACCTTTTGTGCCATAAAATGGATCCATGGAATGTAAAAGATTAATCAATGCCAATATATATATATATATATATATATATATATATATATATATATGATAAACCATCTCTTTGATGCCCATTTGTATATTCTGACAAACTTCTGTATCTCACCTGAACAAGCGAGTAAAGCACTTGATTGGTGGATAAAGTTTATCTTGACTTATCTGTAGAAGCATCACGCAGAAGATTATTCAAAGCTGACACGGTGCCGCAGCCCTGGGTGTGAATTAGTTCAGCATAATCACTCTATGCCTGATAGACTTGTGACCCATCACAGTTTATGCAAATCTTTGGCGCAAGACTGGGAGATTCATATCAGTGTGTGGTTCTCCCATAATACGTCTGTAGTGTTGAGAGAGGAGTTCAGTTTATGCTGTGAAGATGAAATAATAGCTCTATACAGTGAGCCAGACACTTCCTCATATATTTGTGAGGCCAGAAGCTGAAGCAGGCCAGATCTTTTTTGCCCTTTTTAGTTGTTACACCTCTAGCGCAGTGGTTACCAAACTTTTTTAAAGCATGGCACCCTTTTGTAGCCTTTTTTTTTTCTCCCACGGCACTCAAACCCAATGAAACTAAACATAGGCGCCATGTGTAGCACACGTGTAATATTAATTATGAAAATAGCATATGCATGATCAAATTGGCTTGTTTTATCAAACAACTTGTTGAGAAAAATGAGAATATAAAAAAAAATATTTTAGTTTTGTGTCATTTAACCACTTTTTACACTCACTGAAGTTAGCTGAGCAGTGTCAGATGACAAAGTCAAGATCAGGAATCTTGATCTTCAAAATAAATAAAAGTGAAGAAGAACATTCAAACTGTCAACACATTATTAACAGACAAGTGTATTTTATGACAAGGATTGTTTTAGTAAGTAATTTAAACCAATTACTTTATGTGGGAATCATTGGAACAAGGCACATTTAAAGGGTTTGTTCATTCCAAAAAAAGAAAATTATGTCATTAACGACTCACCCTCATGTCGTTCCAAGGCCGTAAGACCTGAAGTTCATCTTCAGAACACAGTTTAAGATATTTTAGATTTAGTCCGAGAGTTTTCTGTCCCTCCATGTATACACGGTATACTGTCCTTGTCCAGAAAGGAAATAATGACATCATCAAAGTAGTTCATGTGGCACCAGTGGGTTGGTTAGTTAGAATTGTTTTGAAGCATCGAAAATACATTTTGGTCCAAAAAAAAAACAAAAAAAAAAAACGATGACTTTATTCAGCATTGTATTCTCTATACTCCCCTGTTGATAAAGGGTAATTCTGAGTACTCCACTCTTAGCTCTGTATCCTTCTACCTCACACCACTATGGGTCAGGTCGAGCAGAAAGTGCTAAACTTCACTTCATTTTGGTTTTGCTGAGTACACTGCCATGGACCATGTGGTTAGGCACCAGGATACTGTAGGGCCTGTGTAAACAGCTTATCTGCCAATGAAGGCTGCATTATCAAGTAGTAGGCCTCAGCAGGCCTCCTTGACTGGCAGCTCCCAAAAAGGGCTCCTTAGGCCAGCTTGCCTCAGGTGGTTGGCCTTAGTAGTTCGGGCAGTACACTCACTGACAGGTAGTAGGAAATAACAGGCCTCCCCGGCAGAGAGTCCCAACATTGTGGGACTTACATTAAAGCTGTAACCAGTTAGCCAGCCTCAAGAGGCCTCCTGTGGGTGGCCCCAATATTTAAGTTGGTGTGGTATGGTTCTCAGTGGTGTTGTGTTCATAGCAGAATAGACTTGCTATCAGCTAGTAGGCCCTACCAGGCCTCCCTGAAAGTAAGTCCCCAGCAGTATGAGTAATTGGAAAACAGCTCTGGCTGAGTAGGCCTCTCATGAGTTTTCGAGTGACGGGGTACATAGCCAGCAGATAGGGTGCTTGGCTATTAAATTCACTGGCCAATCAGACAATTGGCTTCAGTGGGCCTTTCTGGAGGCGAGCCCCGATTCATGATCAGCCGAACAAGATTTGCCATTGTATGGTTGGCTGTTTAGGCCTCCCAGAAGGCAAACCCCCAACAACGCGTATCATTTTTGCCAGCTAGCAAGACGATTGCTGTCAGGCGATTGGCCTTATCAGGCCACCATTAAGCAGTCCCCAACCATGGTCCATGGCAATCAGTTTCTTATCTAAGAAAACTTTCAGGCTGCCTGCCTTAACAGACAACTAAGAGTCTGTGCCCCAGGACAGGGCAACTGGCCTTAGCAGACCACTCTGGGACTGACACCTGGAATCGGGGTTCATAGCAACCAGTTTTCTAGCTTGCTATCAGGTTGTAGGCCTCACCAGGCCTCCCTGTAAGTGGTTTCCCAGCAATACTGTGTTCTGGCAGCTAGTGGCCGCTTGCGACCAGTTCAGCTCTGCCTAACAGGCAGCTTCTGAAGGCGAGCTTGCGCCTAGGACGATTAAAGTCTTCACTTTCTGCTACTGGTTCCCTCTCTGAATATTTTTTTTAGCTTAATTAATAATTTGTTACATTTATATAGCGTGTTTCTGGGTTTCTCAAAGTACTTTACATGGAAGGGGGAATCTCTTCAACCACCACCAATGTACAGCATCCACCTGGATGACAGCAGCCATATTGTACCAGAATGCCCACCCCACACCAGCTTACTGGTGGAGAGAAGACAGTGATGAATCAGTATATGGGGATGATTAGGAGGCCATGATGGACAAAGGCCAAGGGGCAAATTTGGCCAGGATGCCAGGGTTACACCCCTACTCTTATATGAAGGACACCTGTGATTTTTAATCACCACAGCGAGTCAGAACCTCAGTTTACCGTCTCATCCGAAGGATGGATAGCCTTCAGCTCACAGCCTGATTTGCCTACCAGGCAGGCTATGTGCTCCCCTCACTGAGGGTCTTTATGAGTTCTCAGCCTCCCAAAGTCAAGTGTCCAGAGGCTCTGTTTTCGGACAGACAGGAAGTTGGCCAGACTGAAGTGTCCAATGTAATTGACGCCAGGTCAGGCCTTCCTGGTGTGCATTTCGGGTGAGTATGTTCCCCTGAATGAGTATGCTCCTTCGGGTTCCCTAGCCACATTCCCTAGAAGGCACCCCTTCTAATTTGAAGCTGTGGTCATAGGCCCTTGAGCAGGCGCAGGTACCCTTTTCACTGAACA